CACAACTAGACTGAAGAACAAAAAAACGACAGCAACTTGTCTGTTCCCCTTCCCCCAATTCCCCAGCACTGTTCCCATCCCCCCAATTCTCCAATAAAAATCTTTAAAAAAAAAAAATTTATTCCTAATTATTTTATTGTTTTTGATGATATTGTGAATGGTGTAGTTTTCTTTATTTCTCATATTTTTAAGAAAACGTAAATCTTCCCTTACCTACTGATTACCTTTTAGGAAATGTTCCAGCCTCCCTCTCATTTTTAATTGTTATGAGGATATAACAAACCATTAGGAACCAAACCAAGCATAATGTGCTCATGACATTCCCCCTCTCCTTCCTATCCTGTTCCTCGCTCCCTCTCCCACGCTTATTCCTGTTCCTTGGGTAGCCACACCAACTTTTCAAGACAGCTGATTGACTCACACAGCCCAACCCAAGAATCACCAGACACTTGGTGCTAAGCCACCTGAGCTTTACTCACAAATGAAAAAGAATGCAAAAAGGTCCATTTGCTTAATTTTCCTAAATGAAAACTTTATCCCAGCCTAGTGATAAGGGCAACGTCAGGACCTGTCATATTTTTAGATTCAGAGCCAAGAAGAAACACCAGTGGTCACTCCTGGAGCCACTGTAAGCTGTGGACTAGAGTAAACATTATGGCTGCCTGTCCCATGTCTGTTTCACTCCTTGACTCCTGAAAAACAGCACTGTTGTTTGCTGCCTTGTCAGCTCAGGAGTGGGCCTGACTGATCAAGGGATAATCCCAAATGACTGGTTCAAGAGTGGGCATGTGACCCAATTCTGGACTATGAAAAGCTAGAAGTTGTTGAAAGTTTCTGATGGATGCACGCAGCCAAATCCAGATACCACCAGTGCTCTTGTAACAGCTACCTGAATTTTACTTGCAAATAGAAAGATCCAAGTAACCTCTTGAGAAAGGTTTTAAGGGAACAAACTGTCTCTTAAGCTGGATACATACAAGGAAGCAATCACCTCTTGTTATGGCAGCACCTTGCAATTCAACCATAGAAGGGATCAAAGCCATAGATAAAAACTAACACACAAAGGAGGGCATGGCTGAGAGACTTACAGAATAACAGAGCCTGAATTATGCTCAACCTACCTCCAGACCTCCATTCTAAATGAGTAATATTCCTTAATATTAAAGCCATCTTGAACCAAGTTTCTTTACTTGCAGCCAAAAGCCCTAATTACACTGGTATTGTTTTTATAATCAGAAATAAATGAATATATATATCTATATATCTATCTAGATATATAGATATATATATATATATCTTGTATTCATCTTTTGTTATCAGTGTATATTGAATATTAAAATTTTAAGTTTTTCTTTCTTAAAATGTGTATACTTTTTTTGCACCCTCTGCATAAACACACACACACACACACACACACACACACACACACACACACACACACAAAGGTGTGATCGAAAAATATAGTGAATGTTTAAATTAAAAAAAATTATTACGGTAAAAGACACATTGCCATTAATCCCCCTCAACATACTCCCCCCTTGCTTCGAACACACTTATCCCATGGTTCTTGCCACTCTCTGAGGCAGTTCTGGAAGTCCTCTTTCGTGAGTATCATTAGTTGCGCTGTCCTTGCTGCCTCCATGTCCTGAATTGATTCAAAACATTTACCTTTTATGGTCATTTTGACTTTGGGGAAGAGCCAAAAGTCTCATGGTGCCAGATCCTGTGAATAAGGTGGATGAGGACACACCATAATGTTTTTTGACAGAAACTGCCATACCAGAAACTATGTGTGACACGGAGCATTGTCATGATGGAGGATGAAATAAAGACACTCATGAAAGAGGACTTCCAGAACCACTTCAGAAAGTGGCAACGATGAGAATGATTAGATAAGTGTGTTCAAAGCGAGAGGGAGTATTTTGAGGGGGATTAATGGCAATGTATCTTTTACTGTAATAAATTTTATTTAAACATTTACTGTATTTTTCAATCACGTCTCATACTTAAAATATCAATAAATAAGGGAAAAAAATACAGGCCATGCTTAATGACAGCTTATCAGAGAAATACTAGACAACAATTCTCCTACAACCCTTTGCTGGACACTGGTACACATACTTCCTTCTCATATTATATGATATTTTTCATTAAAATTGAGTTTGTGCTTTTCAGAAATTGCTCAGATACTCCAATCACAAGAAGAGTATAATCAGGATTAGAAGCATAGAATAGAAAGGGGATTAAGGGAAGGGAGACTGCCAAGTTTCAGAGCCTTTCCCACTCCCCTCCACCAAGCTTTCTTTCATCAATTATCATCACAGTAATAAATTGAACAGTTTAAAAGTCATGACAATATTCTCACCCTGAACAAGAATACCTCTTTAAACAAGGGAAAATGTTTTACCACACTCCAGTAAAAGAGCTCTTTATTATTTTCAGTATCAGAATTGTCTTAATCGTTTATTACAGCCACCTCCTTTCTCCGTTATTATTGTTTGTGTTTGTGCAGATAATTAGAGCTGTTGGCTCACATTCAGCCTAGAAGTGTTCAAGAACTAAAGTAGGACTATGAGGGGAATTTGTTAACATTCCTTCCTGACTATAATACCATTCATGATGTGGGGCTCCGGCCTATCCTCTCAAGTCCTTCTTTCTCTCTTGACCTACCTACCCACCTATCCGATGCCTATACAACCATCTTGTTTATCTGCTCTTACACCCAGGCTGCTGAATGTGGTAAAACACACTCCCAAAACCAATAACGGTGGGTATCACGCACACTTACAGTCTTGCAATTTACTGCCCCTCTGTTGTCCTGCAGGAACAACTCCATCTGCTAACCCCATTCTTTTAAGCTCCTATACACGAACCTCCTGGACTCCACCCTCCTTCCACCTTCCACCTCCACTCCTGGCAAGAACTCCCTGCAGCAAATGTATCTACATTGCCAACCATCATGACATTTTTCTTTCTTCAGTCAAAGGAGGGAGCATGACTCCTCCTGCATAATTAATAATAAAGTGGTAACAAGAACACTCACAATGTACCATGTGCCTCATCCTACATAAAGTTGTATGCTCCATTTGTGCTCTAGATCCCATTCTCTCTTCCTTACCAAGTGATAACAGTTCCCCCAATCTACTACCCCTCTGACATTGTATATAGGTGTTATAATTCCATTGATTCTATTCCTTATGCTGTACTTTACATCCTGTGACTACAAATATATATAATTAATTATAGTTAATTAATTATATATTCAATATTATCCTACTTAAGCTTCAGGTGTACAGTGCAGTGGTCAGGCATCTATACAGTATATGAAGTGATTCCCCTGATAAATCAGGTGCCCATCTGGCACCCTACATAATCTTTACATTATTGACTATATTCCCCACATTGTATTTCATATCCCCCTGACCATACTGTGTCTACTAATTTGCACTTTCTAATCCCTTCACCTTCTTCCCCATCCCCATCCCCCTCCTTTGGCTTTTTGTCATGAGTCAGATAAAAGTTCTCCTCCTTGAAAAGGCTTTCTTTCTTTTACCACTACAGAGTAGCCCATTTTCCTTTCTTTATAGTACTTTTCACAATTTCTAAGGATCACTTATTATATTATATTATTATGATTATTTATTAGTATTCTCTCCCATGAACATTCAGACTATGAGCTCCATAAGTGAAGAAACCATGCCTGTCATCTTCACCACTGTACCCTTGGTGACTAGCACTGTATATAACCATTATAGGCACTCAAATACTCACTGATTTAATGAAAACAAGAACTGTGACTGGAATAAGTTTCCTGATGATCGAGATTTCCCAGGCTAGTTCACCCACACCCCAAGATTTGGTTCCCGTGGTTGTGAAGGAGCATGCTGAGGACTCACCTCTACCTGAGTGACATTGATGACCAGCACCACCACCATCAACACTAAAAACAGACAGCAGAAAAGTCGCAGTTTGAAGAGACTGATCCACATTATCTGGCTGTGTCTTGATCACCCATGGCTGACACCATGCTTCCATCACTCCTCAAAATTCCATGTCTTTGTTTTTCTGAGCTGCAGATGAGTTTTCAGTTTAATTTGCTTCTTTTCTGCTAGTATCCTTAAGAGTTCTTAGTATAAAGGAGAGGCTCAGGCTGACTTAAGAAGCACATTTTTCTTCAAAGGATGCCTTCAAAGAGGAAAGATGAGAAAACAGATAGCACTGTAGCAAAGTGGCAGGGAGAAAGCGAAGAGCCAGGGCACGGTAACGTCTATTCCGTATCCAGGCAATTTACTCAAACCCAATTCCAGGCTTTTGTGTAAATACAGTGACATTGGTCCTACTAACTATTTAGGTTTTAACTGTCAAGACAGCAAAGAATGTCTTCAAACTCTTAGAAAGTGCAAAATTAAAGCAATTGTTAAATTTCTACAGAGGTCTAAGTAAATAAAATCACTTCCCTTATAGTTCAAATTATAAACATTACCAGAGTAATTATATTTAAAGAGCATTAAGAGGAAACCTTGTGATTTTATGGGGAGTTCTGGGATACTGTGCAACCCATCCTGACATCCTTTGAAAACAGAGTGCTATTCTTCTGTATGGCAGAAGACAGGAAACACCCTTTGGGTCTCCAATCGCCCGCACATACGTGGTCCTGATGCTCCCTCAGCTGAGTAACAAGACACAGGATCAAAGACACCTGCCCTGAAGATCTAGGAGAGAAAAACTAAGCTTGAGGAGTGAATAACAGCACACCCAAATCTTTCATCACATCTGCTAGAGACAGGGTTTTCAGAGTCTATAGGTCCTAACCATTCTCCCACATAATGAATTAAAAATGTGCTCCCCAGTTGCCATTTTGATAGAGGTAAGCAAAGAAAAGTGCTAGTATTTTATTCCCAGCAAGGCTTATTATGGAGGGCATAGTGGAGAGGTAACGGTGGAAAGGCTGCATAGTCATGGTGCAAAGGATCTCAGAATACCTCAGCTGCACCGACACTCGCTGCAGCTTTGTGTTGGACCTGGCAAGCCCCCTATTCCCTCACTCATCTACTCCCTGTCTAATCTATTCCCATACCACAAGGACCACGACAACCCTTCCTCACCCCAGCTTCATAAAGGAGACAAGGTTAAGCTATTGGGTTGTTGGGAAAGTCATGACGCATTTTTGCATTGAAAAATACATCATGACTTTCCCAACAACCCAATATTTCAATATCCTCTCCGTCCTCAAAATTCCCACCGCACTTACTATTTTCACTTCTCAGCTGATCTTTGTATTTCTTGTCTCCCCAGCTAGACTGTACCAACTATAACTATATTTTTTTAAAAAGCTAAGACATAAAGAGAAATAAGGCATTAAATCAGACATGGGAAAACAATTCAATTTAAATGAAAGATTTCTAAGGGCCAGCCGAGTGGCTCGTTGGTTGGGAGTTGGCTTGGGAGCGCGAGCTCTGAGCAGCAGGACCATTGGTTCAGATCCCACATGAGCCAGTGACACTGCCCTCTACAGCTAAGATGGTGAACAACAGCTCGAACTGGAGGTGGGCTACCGTGAATCACTGGCAATAGCGTAGGCTGCAGCCCCTGCTGCAGTGAGCTACCATGAGTGGCTGGCAGCCCGTGTGAGCGGCCAGCAGCCGGTGTGAGCTGCCGTGAGCCACTGTGAGCAGCCATCCAATGGCTGGTGAGCGACTGCCTCACCCGGGAAGAGTGCAATGATATACCATCATGGGCCAGTGAAGCAACGTCCTCCACAACTAGACTGAGAACAAAAGGACAGCAGCTTGTCTGTTCCCCTTCCCCAATTCCCCAACGCTGTTCTCTCCCCCAATTCCCCAATAAAATCTTTTAAAAAAAAATAAAAAATAAAAAATAAATCAAGGGCCGGCCGAGTGGCGCGTTGGTTAAGAACTGGCTTGAGATGCCAGAGGGCCCCAGTTCGGATCCCACATATGAGGGCCAGTGACACTGCCCTCTACAGCTAAGATGCTGAACAACAGCTCGACCTGGAGCAGGGCTGCCGTGGGTCACCGGTGACAGCGTGGGCTGCAGTCCCCTGCTGCAGTGGGCTGCCATAAGCTACCGTGTGTAGCCGGCAGCCAGTGTGAGCGGCCAGCAGCCGCCGTGAGCGGCCATCCAGAAGCCAGCGACTGATCTGCCTCGCCTGGGAAGAGCGCAATGATGGTGCCAGATTGGGCCAGTGAAGCAACATCTTCCACAACTAGACTGAAGAACAAAACAACAGCAACTTGTCTGTTCCCCTTTCCCCGATTCCCCAATAAAATCTTTAATAAATAAATAAATGAAAGATTTCTAAGTGGAAGAAAATATATGTAACAGGTTTCCACTATTTTCCTACGAATATTAAACCTAGCCATTATAAGAAGAAAGCTATTTGCAAAGAAAAAGAAAATATCCTTTAGTATTTCCAATTGTGTTAGAATTGAAGAAGAAAATAGTGCTTGTTGGGAATGACCCTAGAAAAAAAGTTTCCTAGATCAACCCAAAAATAAAAATATATAATTGAATGTAATTTACCTTTTTTGGAAATTTCCAGTTCCCAAGAAGAGATACTTATTAGAACTAAGAAATTAGAGTTTACATCTAAATTTCCTTCCAGTGTAAAGTCTTGAACTCAAGCAATCATGACAGCAGCCTTTATTCTATTCTTGTCACATTTGAAGCACATTGATGTTTTTTCATTTTTATATCATTCTTCTTGCTGCAACAGAGATAAGCACATGATATAGGTTAAAGACACTGAAAATGAAGTAAAGAAAAACACATGTGAAATCAAGAGCACAATTTTATAGCAAAGAGATGTACACAGATTTCAGTACAACATAGTGGGAGGGGCGGGGATAGGAACATTTCCTTTCCTACCAATATAAAATGCTAACTGGCAATTCATATACATAAATTAAATGTGGCAATTCACTCTCAGATCTGAGCTGAAGGTCAAAACTTTACAAATAGCAGTATAACTGGAAAAAATATAAACCAAAGGTAAAAGCTCAACATGTTATTTTTCTTAAAGACTAAAATAATCCTGTAGTTCAACGATTCATCATACCACTACAGAAAACAAGCGGCATCTAGGCAGATCTAAAAATTATGATTACTCCATGAGGAACCTAAACTTAAGCAGCCTTGTTTTCAAATCTTTCTGAAGTGTCAGTCCACCCCTTACTCATGCTTCATATTTATGTTCAAAGGACAAGCAAAAAGTAAAATGCACGGTCTGTTTAGCCAAATTTTGAATAAGACTATTTACCAGCCAATGTAATTTCTTTAAGGCCTGTGGCAACAATCCTAAATGACCATTAGGTACCTGACTTCCTTTCTGTTATCTCACAGGAGAATTACAAAATGATGCTCACATCACTTGGAATTACAATTGTCAATAACACAAATTAAATACTTGAGTTGAGCACTAAACAGAAAATTAGGCAGCAACCCCCATCCTCTGGGGAGCTAATGCTCTTAAACAACCATTTCACAAAGAATATTTTAGAGAACAACCACATATCTGGTTTCTGGGGCAGTCCCCATCCTAAATATGCTGACCTGCTATACACATAAATGTAATTGTACTTGTCAGAGCAAATGTCTGGAATTTTAAATCAGAATACATGGAACCCTAAGTAAAAGACAAAAAAGCAAAGATTTACATGGAATACACCCAAACTTAAATATTTATATCTAAATATTTAATATAAAATATTTAGATATAAATATTTATATCCAAAGAGTAGCTGTATTTTTCATATGATGCTGAGTAAGACCTTGAAACTTAACAGGACAGGATCTAAAGAAAGAAAGAGACTCATCCAAGACCATGACAATGATGGGTCAAACCAACAAGGTCAATCCTTGGACAAAAATGAAGCAGAGACAGAAGTCTGCAGGATTTATTTCCCAAGATCCCATTTTTCCTTCATGTACCACCACCTCACAGGCCCAAAGTGCTGACTCACCTGGGCTGTCCCTTGCTCTTATTCAAAAGCAGGGGCCTGTGCTTTCATGGATGGGGGGTGGGGGGAGTAAACAAATCAGTTAAATAAGTCACAGAGAGTAGTAAGTGCTATAAAAAAAAATAGGGCATGTTGATAGATGATGGTCTTCAAACTTGCATGCATATTTATACCATCTTGGAAGGTTTTAAAAATACCAATGCCTGTTTGGTGGAATCCATGCATGCACAACACCTTGGTGACACTCTGGGTCCCCACGTCCCCACACAGCTGGTGCTACATCGCCAGGTAAACTTTTAATTGCTGGGCTGCGGGCCCCACCCCACAGGTTGTGGCATCCTTTCTTCAGCAAGCTGACTGCTAGCGGCAGTCCTGGAAACATTTGCTGGAGGGCGGTAACCCAAGACCTACACCCCAGCATCTCCTGGGCAGCTCTAGTGAACCTGCGGGCCTGAGACAGGCAGTGGCTGGCTGTGGTATTCTTGGAGCATTTTTGCAGGGTGGTCCCGGACCCAGCACTGGTGCGGGAGCCTGGACTGCACTGACTTTGTAGAAACCACCTACCACACCTCTTAGCTCCCTGGAACCCAGTCCCACCCACCTAGAGCTGCACTGCTAGGGGCACTCTGGGTGCCTGGGTAGCCAGCCCCTTCCCACAAGCCACTGACTTTGGTGGTGGACAGTAACCCAAAATCTGAGCTGCAGCCACTCTTGGGCAGCTCTCAGGGATTTGTGAGCCTGAGGCAAGGGGTGGCAGGCTGTGATGTTCTAAGGACTTTTCTCAAAGTAGTCACAGGCCAGGCACTGGCATAAGAATTGAATCTGCTTTAACTTTGTAAAAACCACTGGTCACATCTCATGACTCCCATGGCCTCCACCCCACCCAGCTAGTGTTGCATCACCGAGAGCACTCTCAACACCAGGTCAACCAACCTGGCCTGAGCACCAAAGGAGGCTCTTACAACTGCTGGGCCTTATGGGCAGCTAGCTGGTAGGTAGCAATAGGCCTAGGGGGCCCTGGGTGTTTTGCTAGGCCGCCTCAAGCCCACTACTGGTGGCAGCCAGTCTTGGTTCACAGCAAGACCACACCCACATGCCTCCAGGTCCGGCACAGGCAGCGGCCAACCACATATAGCTTTGTGGCTCCTACCAGGTAGCCCCGGGCTGGATACAGGCAAGGCTGAAATTGGCCTGCACAGGAGCCCCTCCCAAGAGACACCAGAAAAAACACCGAGAGGCCAGCTTCAGACCATACCAGAGCACTACCTGGTTAGCCCCACAAGCGGCACTCCCAAAAGTGGGGGTCTCAACCGGCACAAGAGCCCGTGGAGGTGAATCCTCTTCTGAGGGGTCAGCCCCCCCAAAGCAGCTCATACACTGTGGGCATAGCCAATCTTCATAGCCAGTCAGCCCAGGAGTCAATCCCACCCATTGACATGCCTAAAGCAATCAAGGCTCAACTACAACAGAATACACACAACACACTCAAGGGACAATCCTGGAACACACGCACAGGAGATCAGGGATACTGCACCATTGGACCACACAGTAAACCTATTACAAAAGGCTACCCAGCAAAGACTGAGAGACAAAGGAGATCTACCTAATACATAGAAGCAAACACACAGAGGCAGCCAGAATGAGGAAACAAAAAAACATGTCCCAAATAAAATAACAGGAGAAACCTCCAGAAATAGAACTAAATGAAACACAGGCAACCAACCTACCAGAGACAGAGTTTAAAACACTGATTATAAGAATGCTTAAGGAACTTAGTGAGAATTTCAACAGAGATAGCAAGCATAAAGAAAGACAAAGAAACCATAAAAAAGAACCAGTCTGAAATAAAGAACACAGTAACTGAAATGAAAAATACACTAGAAAGAATTAATAGCAGATTGAATGAAGCAGAGGATCAAATCAGTGATTTAGAAGGGTAGGTAGCATAAAACACCAAATTGGAACAACAAAAAGAAAACAGAATTTTTAAAAATGAAGACAGTTTAAGGGACCTGTGGAACAACATCAAGCGTAACAACATTCTCATCATAGGAATACCAGAAGGAGAAGAGAGGGAGCAAGGGATTGAGAATCTATTTGAAGAAATAATGACTGAAAACATCCCTAACCTGGCAAAGAAAATAGACACACAAGCCCAGGGAGTGCAAAGAGTCCCAAACAAGATGAACCCAAAGAGGCCCACACCAAGACACATCATAATTAAAATGGCAAAGATTAAAGACAAAGAGAAAATCCTAAAAGCAGCAAAGGACAGATAACTATAATAGTTACTTACAAGGGAGCTCCCATAACACTATCAGCTGATTTCTCAACAGAAACTTTGCAGGCCAGAAGGGAGTGGCAGGAAATATTCAAAGTGATGAAAAACAAGGGCCTCCAACCAAAACTACTCTACCCAGCAAGACGATCATTTAAAATTGAAAGAGAGATACAGAGCTTCCCAGACAAGATAAAGCTAAAGGAATTCATTACCACCAAGCCAGTATTATAAGAAATGTCAAAAGGACTTTACACAGAAGAAAGGAGAAAACAAACAAACAAATGAAGATCATAAATATGAATAATAAAATGGCAACAACCATGTACCTATCAATAATCACTTTAAATGTAAATGGTTAAATGCTCCAATCAAAAGACATAAGGTAGCTGAGTGGATAAAAAAAAAAAAAGATCCACACACATATGCTGTCTACAAGAGACCTACATCAGATCAAAAGACACGCACAGGGCCAGCCGAATGGCTCAGCTGGTTAAGAGCGCGAGCTCTGAGTAACAGGGTCGCCGGTTCCATTTCCACATGGGCCAGTGAGCTGTGCCCGAGCTGAGCTACCGCTGAGCTGTCAAAGGATGGCAGGATGGCTCAGCTGGTGACAGCACGTGCTCCTAACAACCAGGTTACGGGTTTGACTCCCGCATGGGATGGTGGGCTACACCCACCTGCAACTAAGACTGAACACGGCGCCTTGAGCTGAGCTGCCCTGAGCTGCCCTGAGCTGCTAGATGGCGACTGGTCTTGGAGCTGAGCTAGCTGCGCCCTCCACAACTAAGACTGAAGGACAACAACTTGGCTGTTCTCCTTCCCTAATTCCCCAACACTGTTTCCTTTCCCCAATTCCCCAACAAAATATTAAAAAAAGAAAAAAATGGCACACACAGACTGAAAGCAAAGGGATGGAAAAAGATATTTCACACAAATGAAACTTTAATGACAAAATAAACTTTAAAATGAAGACTATAAAAAGAGACAAAAAAAGGACTTTACATAATAACAAAGGGATCAATCCAACAAGAGGACATCACCCGTAAACATCCAACATAGCAGCACTTAAATACATAAAACAAATATTGACAGACATAAAGGCAGAGATCAACAGTAACACAATCATAGTAGGGGACTCTAACACCCCACTGACACCAATGGACAGATCCTCCAGACAGAAAATCAACACAGAAACTGTGGCTTTAAAAAACATACTAGACCAGATGGATTTAATTGATATTTTTAGAGCATTTCACCCCAAAGCAGCAGAATATACATTCTTTTCAAGTGCACATGGAACATTTTTCAAGATAGACCACACGTTAGGCCACAAACAAGTCTCAATAAATTTAAGAAAACTGAAATCATATTAAGTGTCTTCTCTGACCACAGTGATATGAAACTAGAAATAAGTTACAAAAAAAAAACCCCTGAAAAACACACAAACACATGGAAACTAAATACCAT